AAAAAAAAAAAAAAAAAAAAAACCCCCCAAAAACACACAAAAAAAAAAAAAAAAAAAAAAAAAAAAAAAAAAAAAGGGAGAACCTCCCTTCACCAAGAGAGGTACATAACTATGTTTGAAGAGCTCCCCTCTGTATAGACTTAGGAGTAGTGGCGAAAAAAATAAAGAGGGAAGTACGTTCATGTCACATCAGAGTTTCTAATTGGCGAAAAAAACATGAGCCAGCAACTTTGTCATGCCCCAAGTTAAAAAAAGCGGGTGTAACACAGGCCCGCAGTGGCGTCACCATGGTAGTTCCTTAATGGCACTTGTGACGCGTTAGGTAACGGTCCATTCCCAAAATCTCTGCAAAACTCACTAATACTTAGTACTCACGGAATCTCTTCACTATGTTCACTTAAGTACTCACGGAATCTCTTCACTATGTTCACTTACAACGCGTTTGTCGGGGACTCAGAATGAGTTACTTGCTCGAAGGGACCTCGCTCTTGAGAGGGGGGTAGTGTTAGGACCTGCCCAAACACGGACTGAGACGCACAGCTGATTTCTGAGTTTTGCCAATGGAATGTATGCCTTGCTGTGAGTTTCCCCCTTGTTGCTGAGTTTTCTAAGTCCGAGTGTGTGCATGCTTGCTGGTCTGCGTGCCTGTCTGAGTGCTTGATGGTTTGAGTGTGTGTGTGACCCACAAAGGTACTTTTCCGTAGGGGAGGCCCAAGGGGCTGGTACTTACCTGTGGCCATGACATTGAGGGTGGCAGCGGGGAAAACACTCAAGTGGCGGGGAAAGAGGCCTGCGACAGTAAAACACTCAAGTAGCAGGTAGGCCGGTACCACACCCTGAAGAGGTAGATGTGCCGGGTAATCGAGGCCGAGCAGAAGAAGACAAAGTTGGCATTTTTAGAGGCCCAATAGTTGTAGGCTAGGTCTAGACGGGTACCAGTCCAACCAGTCTGAGGCTAGGGCCTGTACGGGCAATATCCGAGTCTGCAATGATGTTTCCTTCCGAATGGGAGGAGGTACCGATTGCTTGGAGGCCGCGCAGCCTAGGAAGTCACTCACCGAGGCAAGCAGGCCGCTATATCTCCAGGAGGAGCGAAGTGCTCCTCCTCATTGTCGGTGTACAAATTTGGTGACACACTGGTTGGAGCGCTGGCTGGAGCTAGCATCAGAGCAGCGCTGCTGGGAAAGGAGCAAGGACAACGAGAGGAGGGAGACAAGGACTAGGAAGGGGGAACGCCAGAGGTACTTACCTGGCTATGGTGGTTGCCATCTTGATCACCTTCGTGGGCGCTGCAGCAGGAAGGCTCCGGTGGGGTAGAGCTACACCAAGAAGCTTTGAGGCAGAGTCAGGCATGGCGGCCTGAGTTGGAGCAGCCATAGCTGCTTTGTGTTGTCCTTTGCACAGCAGGGCAATGCCCTAGTAGTCCGCCATAGCCTCGGCCTTGGAGCAAGGAGGAAGAAGGATGCCCATGGCTATGGTGGACTGTGACGCCCAACCTCACGCCCAGCGCGACTTCCTGATCGGAGTGGGATGTGGGCCTGGAAGTGCGAAAAGGGGTGTGCCAAGGATTTTTGGGGAATTGGGGGTGGAGTCCCAGGTCAGAACTGAGATCTCCTGTGGCAAGGGTCCAGGGGCATAGGTGCAATAAGGCCAAGGGACGGGTTGCTTTCGGTCTGATGGAGGTCGATGTCGTGCAGCATAAGGCAGATGGCATGCGCGGTGCGCCCTGGGTCGTCCGATCCGTCTGTTTTAGTGGCGGCGGTTCGGGAGAGGCCCGTCAATAAGGTTTGCGATTTCTACGAGTCGAACCTCCGGGTGCGGACGCGCGGCGTTTGACGTTGCGTTATGGTTAGGCTCCGTAATTCCAGAGGTTTGGCGGTTGCTGCGTCGTCTGCAGTTTCTGCACGGTGTGTGGGGCCAATACAGGGCTATGGAGTTCCACGGAACCATCGTGAGCTGGTGGTATGGGAGGAGGATGTGGAAGGGAGGGAAATTGGTAGCGATAACGGCGAAGCTTGGGGATATTAACAACGATTTCGTCAAAACGGACATTTGATATTTTTTGAACGAAATTGAAACCCAGGTATTTGAACCTGGAAATGTCACAATTTTAGCTCCTTAAGGTCCCCCTTGGATGTACCTGAACTTCAGTTGACTCCAGATGGTCTCTCATGATATGAATAGTGATATTTTTCGAGCCAAATAAGAAGGTTTCAATTTCGTTCAAAAAATATAAAATGTTCGTTTTGACAGAATCGGGGCACCTCGGGTCGCTGGTTACGGCACAGTGAAATTCCCTGGCGCACAATCAGTTCTTGGTAGACAGGGAAATTCTGGATATCTCCGCCTAAGATATTCTTCCTCCCAATATTCACTGTACTCTGACATCTTGGTATTCCGGCGGATCAAATTCCGCGTTCATCCCGATACTGGAGGGGCCCAGTTCATCAGTGGTCGCGAACCGCCCGCGTGTGGACACGTGTAGGCTGCGCTGATTAGATCGCGCTCGCACGTGCGCACACGAAGTGTTCGGTCGCACACGGGCCTGTTGGCTGGTTTTTGTGCAGAAGTGAGAGTTCAATCCTACATGCAAAATCGTCACATGGCATAGATACCCATCCAATCACCTAATCATTCAGTGATCCCGCAAACAATCATTTTCGATCATGCAAAATGACATCGCATACATCAAACACCGCAACAACATCAAACTCTTATTATGATGACGACAGATCAAAGTGACAAACAACGATGGTGATTGGGCAAGAATGGCAAGCATATCATTCCATCAAAACTCGTCCATCCAATATACACAAAAGAGGATGGATCGAGACCGAATGAGACGTCATGCGAGGGGTAACGTCAAGACAAGGATGCCGAAAGAAAATACGGGCGAATTGCCCGAGCCGCAATCAAAACTTATATACAAAAGCAAAAGGAAAGACAAAGAAAATCACAACTCGACGTCCATCAACCTCCGCTCCCTCTCTCTCTCTCTCTCTCTCTCTCTCTCTCTCTCTCTCTCTCTCTCTCTCTCTCTCTCTC